CTTCAACAATATGTAGTTTATAGAATTTTATTTTATAAAATTGTTTTTTATCTTACATGTTTGAGTATATATACATATGTGTATGTATACATGAAGATCAATGTTTTTACTGAGAGATTAGCACATCTTCCTGAAACTAATGTGTTTTGCTCATCTAAAAATATTTTAACTACTCACATTTGGTTTGAGTTTCCAGCTCAAAGTTGAAAAGACCTTCTATTGGAGTGAATATAGGGAGGCAGTTGTGTAAAATGCAAATATTATATGTACTTTTACCTGCAAGTTATGAGATCTCTATACTTTAAGGTTGCCTAAAAGTAATTGGGAAAAATTGAGACAGAAATTGTATCGCTGATGTTCAATGTTAGCATGTGAAGCAGACTCTAACTCTGATAACTGGGAGTAAAGGGAATATATTCCAAATGTCATGTGGCTTCCTAATGATGTAGTGGTCTGCTGGACAGCTACTGTTGAGTAGATGTAATGTGTTCAGATGTCTTTTGAAATAAGCAACTAAATGAAGTTCTGTGTTACCACTTTGGGTAATTAAAATTCTATAGGTTTCTGTGACCCATTTAATCTTAGTACATAAAAGCATTTTCACGCTACTAAACTATTCTCTACCTAAAATAAGAATGGAAAAGAGAAATAACATATAAAAGCAGGCGTGCATGGGAAAACTCATTATTTATATGCTTAGCATGATTCTACTATATGTAAAACCTAGTATTTCATTAAGTTAGGTCTTTTAGAATATGAGAACCAGATTATACATCAGTTTATATTACAATGGAAATACCGAGATAGTCTTGAAATGAGACTATAAAAGACACTTCTTTTAAATACTAATCTAAAAACAGCAGATATAACATTGTTTTATAAATAGAACAAGAAATCAGAAAGCAAAATAATCCATTGTCTAGGGAAAAAATTCTGTAGGAATGGGGCATTAGATTCAGATGGCTAGTATGAGAGGACATAATTACTGGCTTCATCTCCAGCCCTAGTCCCCTTCCTCTAACCTTCTGACTAGTTGGTAGACAGTTCTGAGTAAGTGAATGCTCCATAAGGGAGAGCCGGTGCATTTGGTATTTGATAAAAATTGCTTGATGAAGATTCCTATTAAAAGAATAAAAATGTTAGTCTTTAGTACTAACATTTGGATGATTTGGTCTTAAAACTGAATTTCACCAAATCCTTTAACATAAATAAAATGGCAGCTATTCACAATTAATGTACATTTTAAATTATATTGGATTCAATTCACAGTCTTGGCTACTACCAGACCTATGTAATTGAATACAGTGTAAATAACAAAAATATAACTGAAATAAATTACAAAGCACAGTTCACTTTGCAAATTGCTGAGTAGACTGCATAGGAAAATCAGGAACAAAGAAAAAAGTCCAGAAGGCATTATTCATACCAGCAGCTAGGGCAACTATAACAACAATAGCTAGTACTAGTATTTACTAGTGAGTGCTTAGTTGGTGCTAGGAGCCTTATGTGTTATTCCACTTGGTTCTCAGAATATTTCTGTAAGGCATTTATTATTGCCAGTTGTATAGATGAAGTTTAAATAACCTGTCCAAGGTGCTTAACTAGTAGTAGTAGGAGAGCTGCATTTTGAACTCAGAACTATGACTGTAGACTGTATTTGTAACCATTATGCTAAAGAACTCATCAGATATTCTGATTCAGACTGGATAGTATTAAATACTTAGGAAGAAAATGAAGGAGCTCAGCTTATCATAGCTATGAGAACAAGCAAGTCCAGTGTTAGACTAAGTTCCAAACCTACTCAGCAGGGAGAATGAAATAGAACTTGTTAGTAAAAAGCATCCCCCAATATAACTCCCAGTGCTGTAGCCTACTGTACCTTTTGTGTATAGTAAATTCCTCTTTTGCAGTAATTGGCTAGGAACCTAAGGTGGCATAATTTTTAAGTAGGGAAGGACAGTAATAGCCTCCAGGAATGATGAAAATAGTGTAGTAATAAATCAGAATTTAAATGGAGAAAAAGAGTAGGACTGCATAGAAATAGTGTCCAGTGATACTACTTCTAGGAATATAGCCCAAGAACTATATTCAGAAACACCCATCAGAAAGAATATATGCACCCCTATGTTCATAGCAGCACAATTTACAATAGTTAAGACTTGATGAGTGGATTTAAAAACTTTGGTACATCTATACAATGGAATACTATCCAGCTGTAAAAAAGAAAGAACTCTTACCATTTGCAACAGCATGGAAGATCCTAGAGAGCATTATGCTAAGTGAAATAAGCCAGTGAGAGAAAGATAATTATCACATGATTTCACTCATACGTGGAATCTAATACCAACATAAACTGGTGAACAAAAATAGACCTAGAGACAGAAACATCGAACAGACTATCAAACCTCAGAGGGAAGGCAGAGGAGGGTTGGAGGAGGTGGGGGGGAAGAAATCAACCAATGAACTCATATGGGTATATGCATAACCCAAGGATATATAGACAGTGGGTGGTGAAGGCTTGTGGGGGCCCGGGGAGAGGGCAGTGAGGGGGTGGGGGGGAGAAGGGGACATATGTAATACTTTCAACAGTATAATTGAGGATAAAGAAGAAATAATCTCGTTAAAAAAAAATTCCAAAAGCTTTGCCCCTCTCTTTGCCTTTATTTTTCTTTAATAACTGTTAAAGTTATTTTGTTTCTTTAATAAAAATAAACTATTGCCGAAACCGGTTTGGCTCAGTGGATGGAGCGTCGGCCTGCGGACTGAAAGGTCCCAGGTTCGATTCCGGTCAAGGGCATGTACCTGGGTTGCGGGCATATCCCCAGTGGGAGATGTGCAGGAGGCAGCTGATCGATGTTTCTCTCTCATCGATGTTTCTGACTCTCTGTCTCTCTCCCTTCCTCTCTGTAGAAAATCAATGGAATACATTTAAAAAAATAAAAAAAAAATAAACTATTATTTCTTTTCCACTCAGTTATTTAAGAACCATTAAAGTGGCATAAGCAATAGTAGGGCCAGTCCCCACCCTTACCTTTGCTGGTTGTAAATTCTAAAACATCTGGCAAAGAGTTAATTAAAAAATCCAATCTGTTATTATTCTGCTTTTTGGAAGGTCAGAAATACAAATATCTTACTCTGCAGTCAGAACTTTTACTTAATTAGTTTTTACTTAATCAAATAAATGAGTTTGATTATAGTTTAGTAAATGTGTTATTTGATATTGTGGACTCTTTCATCAGATTTCACTTGAATCAGGAAAGGTAACACCTGTGGGTTGGTTCACTAAAGCTTCTTTTGTTAAAGGGACACCCGCAGGCCATGAGGCAATTACGTTTGTTGCCTGTACTAAAAGAGGCCCTTAACTGGACCTAAGTAAGTATACCTGAGAACTAGAGGCTTCTTTTGTCCAGCCCTGAGATTAGGCTTTCTCAGAGCTTAGGAAGTAAACTCTGACGTAGAAAGGAAAAACAAGAATAATTCAAGAGTTCTTTTCTTGCTTTAAAATTTAGCCCTCAAGTTAGCTGTATCTAAGACCTTGGGAAATTCAGATTTGAACAAAAGTAAAATGTTGTATGTGGCATTCATTGTAAAAATATATATCTGTATATTCTTAGGCTCATATATTCATTCAAGTTACCTTGGCAGATTTACAAAAGTATAAAAAGGAAAAGCACCTAATTACTAAAAGTTTTGGTTATTAGAAGCAATGAAAACATGTAATTGGGGATTTCCATTTTGGGCCATTTGCAAAACATGTATTACAAATGCATTTATTGAAGTCCTGTTCTACTTGAGTTGGAAAGTTATAGTTTTTTAAATTTCCATTTAAAATACATTTTAATCTACTCTTATCTGTTAGTATTTTGTTATAATAATATTGCTGCAGAATTTATCTTATCTGGCTTGAATTTTCATTTTAGTGATAGCAACTTGGTTATTCCAACAGATGATTGTTGCTGGAGAGTAATTTTTTAAGTTTATGTTGAACAGATATTAATGGGCAAATGCACCATATCAAAGAGGCCTTGTTTTTTAAAACAAACATTTTCTGTTCTAAATATATTTATAATTGTCACTGAGTAAAAATTTAAGCTTATGTTAATACACAGGACATATAGGAACTTGGGTCTTTTCATTTTAGTAGAGGGTCACCATCATTAATTTTACAACTGATGGTTTTATAATAGTTCCTTCTAGGTCTTCATGGTCATTATTGAAATATAATGCATTGAAGATAGGGCCTGTACAAGGCAGAACAGGGATCTTAATTAGAATTCTGACAAGCCCACTCCAATAAAATGATGAGATTATTTGTAATTGATGTCACAATCAATTACCATTTAGCTCATCATGAGCATTCTAATAAGTCTGGCCTTGCTATTGGCCCCAGGATGTTGCAGAATGAGTGGCTACCCTGTTTATGCTTTTACGGAGACAGGAGGGCACATTTTCAGTCAGCATTCTAATGACCTCTTTTGAAGTCTATTAAATTAATGACCCTGTCACACTGTTTTGATCTCTTATAACCTCAGTGTGGGGTTTGTATAACAAATTAATTTTGGGGAACCATGTGGCAAAAATGATGGGCATTTAAAAAGTTGAAACCTGCCAGCCAATGTAGCTCAGTGGTTGAGTGTTGACCTATGAACCAGGAGGTCACAGTTCAAATCCCAGCAAGGGCATATGCCTGGGTTGTGGGCTTGATCCCATGTGGGGCGTGCTGGAGGCAGCTGATCAATGATTCTCTCCCAATGTTGATGTTTCTATCTCTCTATCCCTTTCTGAAAGCAATAAAAACATGTTTAAAAATTAATATGAAACCATAATATTACTAATATTTAATAAAAGTTATTTTGTGCAAAAATGAAATCATAGGGTTTATATGTATTGTATAAAAAGACAACTTTAGGACATTTTTCCTTACCTGCACAAGATACTTTTTATTGACAGTACCCAAATTTTTTTTTTTTTAAAGGGGCTGCTTTCTTCTCTAATTCCAGGTGCCAATGGGCCATGTTTGGTTAGAAGGTGATAATTTACAGAATTCTACAGATTCCAGGTCTTATGGACCTATTCCATATGGACTAATAAGAGGACGGATCTTCTTTAAGGTACTGTTTTCTACTTAAAATGTAGGCCTTCTTATCTGAGCTGAGGGGAAAAAAACATTTTCTTTCAAAATGAACTCTGAACTCTTTAGGCTATTAGTGGACTTACCTGTTACAGTAACAGTAGTGAAAATGTTAGCTTTCATAGCTATAAAAATTACCCCTTCCCCCTATTGAGACAGGTAATCGAGAATATTTTTGTTTGAATAATAAAACTCTAGCTACCTTTGTTTGTAACATAAGAAGCCTTTAATTTGAACCTTCAAAAATTTCTCTCTTGTATTTTTACAACCATGTTAATATCCTGGGAATATACAGCATGTTCCCAAAAATTGTATACACACTTTAACAGCTGATAGGTCAATTTTGAAAATGAAATGCATTTTAATAAACACTGCCTTATAATTATTCAAAGTGTGTGTATACATTTTGGGTGGATACTCTATATTAATGTGCACTTGCAGAAGAGCAGTGTAGAGTCAAAATATCTGCAATGCACGGATATCTTAGTTAAGCACAGTGAGGAATGGACTTATCAATGTTGTAGCAAATTTATGATTCTTAGGAAAGATTATTGTTTTTACTGGCTCCTCTTTTTTCTCACAATCAGTAAGGGAAAACAGACAGGAATACTTGGGGGTAATTTACAGGATTCTTTACACTTAAGCATATACTCAAGTACTTAGATTTACAGTTAACTTTGAGGGCAGTAAAAGAAAATACAGACACACACATGCTCACACACCCACACTTATATACAGTTGACCCTTAAACAACTCGGGGGTTAGGGGCATTGACCTACATATAATTTTTAACTCCCCCCAAACTTATATATAGTATCTGGAATTTGTTCCAGGAAAATCCCCAGACACCAAAATCTGTGGATGCTCAAGTCCCTTATGTAAAATCACATAGAACAATACATACAGTTGCCCCTCTGCTTCCACAGATTCCCAACCATGGATGGAAAATAATGTTTTTAATCTGTTGTTAGCTGAATCCTTGGCTATGAAACCCAGGCACATGGAGGGCTAACTGTATATTTATTGAGGGAAAAAAAAAAATCTGTGCATAATTGGACCCATGCAGTTCAAACCCATGTTAGAGTTTAAATACATAGACACATAAATTTACTTTCTAAAGTCTTATTTTGATGTAGGAAATTTGTTCTTGAGTGAAGAATACAGAGGAAGTGTTTAGTTACATGGCATAGAGAAAAGGATGAATGAAATAAAAAGGAATATGATGATATAACATCACTTTCATTAATTGTCTTCAATCAATTTTGATTTTACAGATTTGGCCTCTGAGTGATTTTGGATTTCTACGTGATAGCCCTAATGGCCACAGATTTTCTGATGATTAGCCAACATTTATTCTTTTGATTTGATTATTGCCTCCTGTTCAAGTAAAGTTATTATTGCCACTGAAACCATGTACTTACTAATAAACTATTTGCTATTCAGTTTGTTATTTTTAATTGTTATTTGTAAAGAATAAGTAACACGCAATCTGCAAGCTACATTATTCAAATATATGGGTAAGCGTAATCCAATAAATCATCTAACGTTTATGACATATGTAAAAATATTTTTAGGGGGGAAACCTGGATGACAACCTCACTTTTGAATTTTTAGTTTTCTAGGTATAATAAACTCTCCTTAAGAATATGCTTCGTACGTTAGCTACATTTATTTTTTATTTTATTGTATTTTTTTGTTAGCTATATTTATAAAGAGTAGAAACTAGTCTTATAAGTCCAAATCAACAATAAATGCAAAGATTCAACCTAATAAAAAGCTGCTAAGTCACAAACTTGGTTCACTCATTTGAAAATAGTTTCAGTCCAGCCAGTGTCGTTCAGTAGTTGAGCGTCGACCTATGATCCAATAGGTCACAGTTCAATTCCCAGTCAGGGCACATGCCCAGGATGCTGGCTCAATCCTGGTGGGAGGTGTGCAGGAGGCAGCTGATCAATGATTCTCTCTCATCATTGATATTTCTATCTTTCTCTCCCTCTTTCTTCTTCTCTGAAATCAATAAAAATGTATTTAAAAGTATATATGTGTATTTTTAAAGTTTCAGTGATCCCATAAAGGATTCCTTTTCAAATCAAATTTAAATTGTTTCTGACTTACACTGTACATAAAATGTTAAAATACATAGAAAAACAAAATCTTTAGTTTACTATAATCAATAATGATACATTATAAAAGTCCATTTCATCATACTAGCAGTACAATGGTTCCTTATTCCTAAATACAGGCATTAATACTGTATCTTAGCACTCTGAAACCAAAAGGAAAGTAATGCACTTGTTTCAAATTTTTTCTTCTAAAACTACCATTTCCTAAATTATATTTAAAGTTGAAGATGGCAGTGATCAAGAACCTTACTCCAATTAATACAACCACTTAAAGGCTTTGGAAATATGGTGGCAGGACTGAAGTCATCTTCTCCAAAGCTATTCTTCCTTCTACAGTTGCCACTTTGTCTTCGTTATTAACTTTGAAATAACCTCATGAATATCCATAGTCAGCCTTCACGATGGGAGAACCAAGCTCACATATTATTTACACAGAATGTAATTTAACTCTAATGACCTGAGATTCAGAAATAGTTGTACAATAGGCCTATAACTTTGACAGCTAGAAATGTCATGTTACCTCAGAAACTTAGTAACTATAAAGGAATATGATGGTATTGTGACCCATTAAAGAGGAGACATGCTTACTTGCAGAAACAATAATAAAGTTCTCAAACAGGAATTTGCTATAAATAACTTAAAATTCAAGTCTCTTTTTTTGGAATGTATAAATTATCCTATATAATAAATATGTAATATGCAAATGGTTGTTACGCTGTGAAGCGTAACAACCGACTGCATAACGACCGGATCACAGATCAGCAGGAGGGTGGGGCAGCGAGTTACAGGTGGGCTGCTGAGAGCTACAGGAGGGGGCAGGGCAGAAAGCTATTGGGGGGGGGGGGGGCGGAGGGAGCTACAGGAGGGCGGGGCAGCAGGCAGAGAGCTACAGGAGGGTGGCAGTGAGCTACTGGCTACAAGCAGGCGGGGGAGAGCTACAGGAGGGGGCAGGGCAGCAAGCTATGAGGGGGAACGGGGGGAGCTACAGGAGGGCGGGGCAGCAGGCAGAGAGCTACAGGAGGGTGGCAGAGAGCTACAGGAGGGTGGCAGAGAGCTACAGGAGGGTGGCAGTGAGCTACTGGCTACAAGCAGGCGGGGGAGAGCTACAGGAGGGGGCAGGGCAGCAAGCTATGAGGGGGAACGGGGGGAGCTACAGGAGGGCGGGGCAGTGGGCAGAGAGCTACTGGAGGGCGGCAGCAAGCTACTGGCGAGCTACTGGTGCACAGATTCGTGCACAGGGCTACTAGTAAACATAAAGAGCTAAATTAATTTTCTATTAATGTGGGTTAGACTTTGCTTGACAAGCTTACATTTTCTTTGCAAATAACAGCTGACAAAAAAAGGTTCCTTTTTTATCAACTTTAGACAGTTGCTTGAATGTATAAAGCTGGAATGGACTTTCCTCAACATGTCTGAATATACAGTTAAGGGAATCCATTTAGTGAATAATTTCAGCTACAATGGAGGAGTTCTATAATTAGTGAACATGTATCACAAGAAATCAGGGTAACTTCTTCGGCTTCATCCTTAGAAACACTGTATTTTCCACCACAACGGCAACTCAGAGAGTAAGATTGATCATCTGCAGAGAAAACAAAAAAATGCTTCAAATGCTTACAAGTAACTACACCGACACCACACACACACACACAATGTGGTTTATTCCACAGAAACTGAAAAAAAAAGTAAGTTCAGTAAATGTAAAATGTATTAAATGAGAACTTGAAAATATTTCATATATAGGCAGGAGCAGTGTTTCTAAAAAATTATCCACCAAAGAATCTCTGTAAAGGAGATGGACTAAAGCTATAAATCAGTAGTCCAAAGATCTTGGGGTGACAGCAAATGCTCTGAAGCAACCCAGAAAATTTATTTGAAGTCTGTTTTCTTAAGATTCATACACATTTCACATTCTTCTCAACAATGCATTTGTCCAAAATAGGACTGTAAAGGAAAAACAACTTTACCTGTCTTATTAAAGAACTTTCTTTTGCCTGGAGTATATATATCCTTTAAGAAAAAACTGCTAATTTGTTTATCAAATTCAATATTTGAATATATCTGTTCTGGTATCATACTATTTTAAGAGTCCTGACTCAAATATATAAACACACACTATGGTGTGTGTTTTCTGTGTGTGTAACCTGTTTGTTTGGTGTTTACAAATGATTTGTGAACCAAAGGGCAATCATTGAAGTGAGATGCCCAAAGGAAACAACATTGTGTGATGTGTAGCCTACGAAAATTTTATCATGTCTGTCATTTTCCTGAGAAGCTGAAATGCTTATGTCCTTTAAAAGAATTCTTAATTTACTGGACATTCGATTTAACTGTCACTGAGACGTGATTGTCAAAGAAAAACAATTACTTATCACATTATTTTACTACTGTCATAATTTGTTACATAGATAAATCAACTAAGATATGATTTCTTACATTGGTATCTTCATTCAATTCTCAAATTTCATTTTTTAACAGTTTGATATCAACATATGCCACTAAAAGAAGAGAAAGAGAGAGAAGGAAATGAAAAAACTGCCTTGTTTTTGTTCTCTAATGAAGTCTGGCCTTGGAAAACTAGTAATTAAATGAACCAACTTTATGTGTTTCTTTTATCATAAAGGATTCATTCACCAGTCCTGCTTTTTATTTTTTACTACAATGAGTCTTTTCCCCACAGGGAAATATAATTTAATCTGGAATTTTAAAATGCTAACATCCTCCCTGTCTGAGCCAACATACATATGTAGTGGAGCATGCTTTCACAGTGAATTGTTTTATTATTAAACTAGAGGCCCAGTGCACGAAATTTGTGCACAGAGGGGGTGTTCCCTCAGCCCACCCTGCACCCACTCCAATCGGGGACCCCTCTCACAATCTGGGACCGCTGGCTCCTAACCACTCACCTGCCTTCCTGCCTGCCTGTCCGATTGTCCCTAACTGCCCTCCCCTGCTGGCCTGATCTCGCACCCAACTGCCCTCCCCTGCCAGCCTGGTTGCCCCAAACTACCCTCCCCTGCCGGCCTGATCTCGCCCCTAACTGCTCTCCCCTGCTGGCCTGATCACCCCTAACTGTCCTCCCCTGTTGGCCTGATCTTGCTCCCAACTGCCCTCCCCTGCAGGCCTGATCTCGCCAACTACCCTCTGCTGGCCAATTTAGTTCTGATTGGTCAGTTTCTATGCCAGTCAGCGTCAAAAGCTCCAGCTCCTAGGCAGCCATTGGCTCCTTACATTCACCCAGATTTGGTTCGGATTGGTCAGTTTCTATGCCAGTCAGCATCTCTGGGCCTATCAACAGGGGCTGATCAGCAGCCCCAGTGGAGGCCTGTTGAGAAATGGAGAGAAAGAGAGGCAAGTTCTGAACAACAGCTGCCAGAGACTACGGATCAGCCCTGCCTCTCTCTCTCTGCAGGCCTCTCTCTGGGCCTGATCTGCAGCCCCCTAGGCCAGTGGTTCTCAACCTTCTGGCCCTTTAAATACAGTTCCTCATGTTGTGACCCAACCATAAAATTATTTTTGTTGCTACTTCATAACTGTAATGTTGCTGTTATGAATCGTAATATAAATATCTGATATGCAGGATGGTCTTAGGCGACCCCTGTGAAAGGGTCATTCGACCGCCAAAAGGGTCACGACCCACAGGTTGCGAACCGCTGCCCTAGGCAGTCAGTGCTGGGTCTGGGTGCCGGCAGTGGGTCCGGCCTAGCAACCCAGCACTACCTTCCAATCTGGTCGAGCCTTCGGTCGTAACAGTCATTACAACCCTGGTTCTTTATTATATAGACTGTGTAAAAATGCACACATTCTAGCCATTAGATTTCTTAAGCTACATTTCTCCTGGTTTTTTTGGTTTGTTTGTTGTTTTTTCTACCACCTCAGTGAACAATGAGAAACAATTTGAGGTGATGTGCTCAGTAAACGATGTAGAGGCCACCATGGGATACTTTGGAGTTTTGTCATAGATGATTCCAAATGTTAATCTCACTAAACACTCAAATCTTGTCAAATTTCTTGTAATATGATTCTTCTATCACTTAACAAAGTGATAACTTCACAGAAATCATCATTTTAAATATAATGAATAAAGACAAAATGACTAAGTTATATATGAAATTAACTGTGAGGGGAAAAGGTTAAAACCTTAGTCTCTCAAGAGTTCTTCAGGTATGCCTTTTAAGCATAATAATATGCACCATTTCAAACTGTCTTTGGGTCAAGAAGCTGATCATTAGGCCATGTCTATCGTGTAGCATTTCATCCACTCTTCTGTACTAAACCTTAAGTGTCCAAATTTTTAGCATTTTCACTTGTATCAGAAAGTTCATATATTTGTGGACTAACAGATGCTGAACACCCAGTCCATATTCTTACTTTTAAAAAATGTTAAATTATTGATTATATTTTTAAATGATACTGAAGAAAGAAAAACTACAAAACCCAGTTTTCACCATTTTTACATTATCAGGAACTGTAAACAAAATACACCAGTCACATCAACTACAAGCAAGAAGAGATTTGTCTAATAAGAGATTAAACACATACACACACACACATACTGATTGATAAAGTAGCAATACTATATTTTCAAAAGATTTATTTAGCTGGGCAGGCCTCCCTGATAAGTGACATGTTGTATTCTGTCCGGCTAACGATCTAGAAGTAAAAGCCTGTATCACTAGAATATTCTATCTCACAGCAATAGCTCCCCCAGTTTACGCTGGTGAAACTATGTCAACCCCTGGGAGCCCCGGTTACACAAAACCTCGTTTTCTAATCATTCGCTGCAAATAACAATTTCTACTCCAGGGCCTCGCCTGGCACTATAGGAACAGAGTGGCCATCGACAAAAACATGATCCTCTCTGAGTCAATATGGCTTGTGACCCGACTTCCTGAGAGCACTACATGCAGAATCTGCAGAATCTGCTGTTAAAAAATAGTTCATTAAACTTGTTTTCAGGAAGGATGGGCTGTTTATCTTCTACCTATTCGCACTCAGTAAAGTTTATAAGTCCCTAAGGGATTTGTACGCTAGGCTGAACAATAAAATTATAGGGTTAAAAGTATATACAAATTCGAGGAAATGGTAAGATTGTCTTCATTTGACCAGAGAAACATGGAAGTGTGCTATTTAAGGCCTTCATTTAGAAAAGAAACCTAACAACGTCTCCCTGAGCAAGAACTACCAAGAGTGGAGAAATTCAATTAGATTTAGGTGTTAAAATTCTAGTAATAGGAAAGTGAAAAAGATATGACTTCATAGTGAGTAAAAGACAGTGACAGATTTTTATTTTCTGCCTAAGACAATAAAAAAGTGTAAAATCAAGCTCCAAGTAGAAAAATATAACAATGAAAGGCCTGCCCTGACAGTTTATGATAAACAAATAAAAATTCTAATGGGAATGCACCTCGAATGTCAGCATAGGAAGGGTGGGAAAATTATCTTTACCTTTTTTCCCCATTACACAGATGGAGAATAAACCAAAAACCAAAGTAGTTTAAAAAAAGAAAACCTTATGAAACCTTACATAACTAACATCAAATTAGAACAGGAAAATAACTAGGAATGAGTCATACAGGGGGACATCAATAATTGAAGTTTAGAATGAAACAAAACTATTCAAGGCAAAAACACCCACATATATATCAAAAGCCAGCTATTACCAGTATTTCTTTTTAAGTTTCCAAATATCCCATAAGAGTTTTTATTTTCTTACAGAAAATCCCTAATATTTTCCTTTACTATATCAAGAGAGAAAATAAATTCCAACCTTTGTTCCAAGACATTTCTTCAAGATATACTTGAGCACCTACTGGTCCCATATTTCTTAGGTCATCTTCTGTAAAATATAAAATGAGACACTTAATTTTGAAGAGTGCTTAAAAAGCAACTCCAGCCTGGTCAGTATAATTCTAATTTACTTACCGTTTTAAAATTTACTAGTATGTCAAATATTGTATCACTTCACACCTATTGGGTACCAACGGTCTATTAAACTATACATAAAATCCAAAGATTTTGCCTAGTGGCTAGGGGTACTTCCTCTATCTTTGTGTGCCCATGGAATAGCTTATGTAGAGTATCAACATACCAAGTAATTTCTAAACAAAAGTTGGCCACTTTTGTTTGGTTCTGGGGCCTTTTGGGAGGCTCTCCAGTGCAGGTCAATGTCAGATGCAGCCCTGGGCAACCTGTTTGGAGTTACAAAGCGATCCACAGTTTGGATCTGCTGGGCCTGTGTGTGCAAAACTGCATACCAAGACCAGTTTTTACCAGCACCAGGCCTGGGGACAGGTCATCTGGGGACAAGATCCGCCTCTGCCTGCTCTGCCCGTTAGGCTCTGTTACTGGAAGAGCCTCTGCTGGTACTTGAGTTGCTTGAGGTAGGTTCTTAGTGAGTGACAGGTAGGGGTGAGTGGTGTTTACCAGACTGATACAGGTTCAACCTCCTTGCCAGTGCTGAGTCTGTGGCACTCAGCAAATGTCCCTGGGTATACCCAGGCTGGGTGCTCGCACGCCTTTGTGGTGAGGCGGGGTCTCAGGGAGTCATCAGGGACAGGCCAGTAGTTTATCAGGCAGAAAGAGACCAAGATTTGGCTGAGTGAAGGTAGGGCTCTGCACGGTTGGGCCTGTGAGGGCAAAATGGTCCCTGTCCCAGATTCTGCCAGGAAGTGGATCTCAGCAGGGCAGGGCCACCAGGAGTTGGGAGGATGGGGCTAGTGGATCTCCAGTGAGGGGGAGATGCCAGTCAGGCTTGGGGGAAGGTGGAGGGAGTGGGCCTCTCCTCAGAGCGGCAAAACTTAGTCTGTCCTGGATCTGCCCAGACCTAGGCAGGACAAAGCCACCAGGAGTTGGGAGGGTGAGGCCACAGGGAGCCTGGAGATTGGGGCTAGCGGATTTCCTGTGAGGGGGAGGCAACAGTGCAGGGGAAGTGTCAATCAAGTAACAGGGAAAGTGGGAGGAATGCTGTCTCCCCAACCCCAAGTCTGCCAGACCTCTACATCCCAAGCCCAGGCAGCTGATTCCTCAGAAGGGCACAAGCTCCACAAGGTAAGGCAACAGGGAGTCCAGAGGGTGGGGCTAATGCATTGCTCCAAGCTGGTGACCTGTGGAGGGGAGTGCTCCACCCAGGAGAGATGGCATCTGGTATGTGGGAGAAGATCTCAGCTCAGGTATCCTAGTGGCTGTCCCTTCAAATGCCTCCTCAGAGCCACAAACTCCAGTCTCTCCTCACACAACTCTAGTCTGCTCCACCCTCTCTCTGAAGAGCCCAAGATGAGTGGCTGCAAACAAGATTTTGTGCTTTGGTCCTTTAAAGGGGCACCTATGTTCCTAGCATTATCCTGTCTATCCCTGGCAGACAGAATCCCCACTGATTTTCACAGCCAAATATTATGTGGGTACCTCTTCTCAGCTCGGGTGCTCTGTGCTGGGGAGCCTGGCATGGGGTTGAGACCCTACTCTTCCCAGGGAGAACCTTTCTTTGCAGCTGAGATATCTCTGGAATCTCAGCCTTGGCCCATGGGAGTGGGGCTAGTTCTTTTGCTTTGCCCTTCCTACCAGTCTCAATGTGGCTTCTTCTGTAAATCTTTGGTTATATGATGTCTATTCAGCTATTCTTCAGCTATTCAGGCTGATTGCTCTATATTTTAATTGTAATTCCTGTTTGGTCCTGGGAGATGAGTGTAGCTTCACTTATTCCACTGCCATCATGGATCCCTGTTTTTGTTTTTTTCTTTTTAAACAATGATCTCTGTTTGTCCACCACTGTCCTTATAATTAGAAAATATAATTCATCCCTAGCCATTAAAAGTAACAGGAACCCTGTAATTAGCTTTGATAATTGTCTATCAGGCAAGGCATCTGCAAAACAGATCAATTTGTTTTATTTTGAGTTTTACATATTATAAATATTTTTGCTTGTTACAATGAAAGATTTTAAATCTGAAAATATAAATCCTATCTCAAAGTTCTTCTGTTAACATGACACTACTAAAATTGTTGAGAAAACATAAATTGACTTAGAAAGTGCTTTTTAATTAAAAGAACAGAGGCTCTTAGCTACAGAATGGTAATAATAATAATAATAAAAGAAAACCCAGCCACTGGGAAAAAAATGCATTGCCTGGCATTTGGTGTACTCTATTTTGCAACCAATGACATTACATGATTCCTAATTCTTTTGAAGTGAGTAGATTCAGCTTTTTCGAAGGTACTGGGGAACATTTAATGTCTGTTTACACCCTATGCAGTGCTGACATGCTTAACTAAATATGGGGACAGAAAAAATTCCCAATTTATTTACATATAGAAAGCAATGCACTATAGTTAAAGAGATTCCTGTGCAATATAATGATAAAATCAAATAATTTATGTGATTACTTGAAAAAGAATCTTTAAACCTTTAGAAGTACAGGCCCTTCTGATCCTGTGTCCTATTGGATTTGTCTGACAACAAGAGGTGAAAGACTTCTGTGGCTTCATTGTCTCAATGGTGGGATCTAAGAAAACAGTGGCAGGGCTCATCAGAGAGGTTTATGAGCCTACAATTCAAAGAGATTAAAAGGAAAATCTACAGAGATTCTTTCCCACTGAAGAATAACATTAAATAACTATTAGCAGCTCGGTTCAGGAAAGCTTACTAGAGCTCTCGCTGGGTCATTCACAACTTTCTAAAAGAGGAAAGGTTTTTTTTTAAGCTCCATTTGGGAATCAATAAATATTTCTTACTTCTTCCAAGATAATGGAATTCCAGTCTTTTTCAACTTCCTCCTAATGATACTAAAATTTCTAAAACAACTCTTTGTTTGCTGCCTAAATAATTACACGTCCTAATCTCAGGATACTTTTTCTAATTGTAATTACAATTTAAATAAGTATAAATAAATAAATAAATAGTAGCAACAAAAAGCTACAGAGAAAAGGAATTTAACTTTATTCATTATTGCTGAGGTATCTAAAAATCTCAATCAACCCAATGTTGGCCAAAAGACTGAGTCCATCTGCAGCTCTGTCCCCACTATTCATGTGTAGCAATGTCTGTTACTCAAGTGATCAAGTCCCCAACATGCTCTCAAATCATCCATTGTATTTATCTATGCAATTTAAAATATTTAAAGTGCATTTCCTCCTTAAAGAAGTCATCTATGTTAAAAGCAAATAGCAATGTTTTCCTTTAGGTCTTACTGTTTTAAAATCAAGTAATTTAATTATAGACACTCACTTAAATTCTTATGTATTTCACTATACACAATTAAATTTTTCATATAGGAAATGACTTGATGGATATCAGTTTCCTTGTCCTTAACAGTCTCTGCTCTTTGAATAGCCTCTACCTTGATAAGAGATTCAGGATCAGCCAACGTTTACTTGAAACCTGCTCATTAAAATTATAAAACTCTGCAATCCTTTCCCAAACGGAATTAAAGAATCACAAATGGAAGGCTTTCTATATCGAAGAAAAATTACATATTTGGAGTTTAATTATGGACTGAAGAACTATAGACCTTTTATAAAGTAAGCCTAAAGCCAGTGCTCATGAGAAGTACCAAATAAAACCAAGAAACTGAATTTGACATTGCACTAACTACGGAGCAGGTAGAACAGCAGCAGATGTAGGTCTGGCCTTTTGTTCTGACCCTCAACTATGCCTCATTCTTTACTATTTGGAACTAAAAATAGTAAATGGTACACACCTATTCAAAACTTGGCAGCCTGGCACAATGATTAAGAGTCACAGAATGGCTTTGAAGTCCCCTCTATTAATTACTGGCTATGCAACCTTAGTTAAATTAGTTAACCCCTCAGAGCCTCAGAATCTCTCTGGAAACTATTATTTCTTCCTTACAAGGTTATTAAACAATGATTAAAAGACAATTACCATATTTCTAGTGCTCAATAAATGGCAGCTATTTTAACTCTTATTATTTAATAATGTTTGTATTGACCTGTCTCTACCAGACCATTAACAAAATGACAAAACATCCATTATTATTGAGGAGGTGCTGTGAAGCTTTAGTATCGGGAGGCAGCACAGTTGACTTTGGGTTTGTTAAGTGTTAACAAGTTCAATGTACTTTGCTATTGTCAGTCTCATTAAAATTGATCCATTGTTATCAAAGCCATATCTATATTAAACAAATTAAAAATAATTAATTTGTGGATTAAATTCAGAGGTTAGAGGTGATGGCAGATTAGAACTTCAGAGAAGCTTGTTTTGGTGGGGTGGGGAGGGAGACAGGAGGACTTGAGTCGGAACTTGAATAAAGGATACTGTGAAGAATCAGAATGGGAGGGTGTTCTGAGTAGTGACACACAGCAGAAGCAGCTGTGTTTGGGAGTCCCTAAATCACCCAGGGGAGAGGATTCACATTAGGTTTGTGATTAGTGACAAGGTTAGAAAACGTAATTAGGGACAAACTTAAAATCTTTGGCCCATTTAAATCCCAGGTGAATAAGCAAATGTTTTTGAGGAAGGGGTGGTTTAATATGTTTTTTATAGGAGTAAGAATAAAGAAAGCTAGACCAATCAAAATGTAAAAGACTGTGGGAGAAGGCCAATTAGCTGCTATGGAAATAATCTGGATATGTGGTATAATCTGGGTATGGACTACTGTGGTAGCTGTGAGAATAAGATCACATAGGAAAAAAAATTAAAAAGTAATGTCAACACTCATTTCTACTTTATTGGTTGTATAGTGAGCAAAGTAGAAGTAATCAGAGTGTAATATGAACCAGGTTCAAGTATGGGGAAAAATAAGCGAGAGAAAGGTGACCTAGTCTTGGTTTTGGACCCACTGATTTCAACTAGGTCAAGAACCCACGTAGAAATTGGGAGACAGGTTAAAGTGGGAGATACAAACTTCCTAAAATCCTACACTTTCCCTATTATTAAATTAGAACCACCAATTATGTCCCAAGTATACCAGAATTATGACTATAATTTTGCCCATAGGTTTCTACACCATTATTTGAAATTTTCCAAATTTTACTCAAAATCATTAAGAAATTATCTTAAAATGTTTTCATGGAAAAAAAATACCAGTTAATTGTCTTTAAGTAAAAGTAACCAATAATGAAGTAGTCACCTTCTTGTGACAAATAGAGTGAGCAGGAGGACCTTCACAGAAAGTTTTATCTATACTCTCTTCGTCCTCTGAAGAAAATGCCAATCTCTAACTGTCTGGATGAATTTTCTGCATCATTTCACATAGTTACTTTTCCCAGAAACAGTCACACACAAAAAAAGCCTCTTGATGCTTATCTTCAAGTTTTACCTCAAGCACATTTTTATAGTCAATTTTCAAATTCCTAAAATGAAATGGAAATACTGATATGACCATATATGGAAACTCTAGTCTAACTACAAATATTTTGTGAGGGTCAGTTTTTGCACATAATTTGCACAAATATAATTCCTGACAGTTAACCCAAATTCATATTATCTATATTTACAAGTATTATTTCCCTTCTTAGGGAGTTAATCAGGCTTTAGTATTAACTTGCTTTTCAGGAAGGATTCTTATTTTGAGATTAAGAAATTATGTATTGATTCAGTTATCTGGCATACATGTAGTTGGAGTTTTAAGATATGCTCCTCATTTGGCCCAAGATTTATTTGCTTATCTACCATTTGTAAATATTTATCCTATTACAACACCAGAACTGACCCTTTATATCTAACCAAGGGGGGGCAGCTGATTAGCTCTGAGTAAAGACACACTAACGTTATGTCTAGCCCAATCTCCTTCTGAGCCAGGCTATTTTTGATATCCAAGTACTTGGCCAATTGTGTAGAGTGAAGGCTCCATATTCCCGAAGTAATTCACTAACAGAAAACCAAGATACACCTTCACACAAAATAACATACCTCCAAGGATTCCAAACATAATCTCCTTAGTTTTTTAAAAAATTACTTAATTTCACTGACTTCATGTGAAGGTTTGTTCCCCTTCAGGTGACAGAGAAATAACATAATTCATAAGCTGTTCACTCTGTAGAGCCACTGAAATGTCCATGATCTGTAGTATGACTGTCCTTACAAAGCTATTGAGGCATGATCCCTATTATTTTCCCATGATATACTTCTGATGTGTTTTAATGTGCTTATTTAATACATGAGAAAATGCTCCATAAGATTTATTCAACAGATATCATTCATGTGAACAGATATTGTTCATGTGAACATTTTATAAATCTTGAAAAGATTTTCCCAAAGTGTTCATCTGGTTGTCTAAAATGCAAAGCCTAATCTTGAACAACTACATGCCTTTCAAGGGAACATGGGAAGCAGCCTTTGGAGGCATCCTTAGAAACAATAAGGTGAATATGCCAACTGGAACAAATTGATTAAATTTACTAGTTAACATTGCTTTCAAAATGTATACTATCCTGGGAACTAAATATTACTCATCCTTTTTTAGATTTGCTATTCTTCAGCCTGGCCAACATTGCCCTAAAATGACAACTAGGAACATAGAAGTGGAAATGAAGGAGAAACAATGTATGTACTTTACTTTAGGTAATCTACCCTGGACTTTTTCTTCGTTAGAACTCACTTGATAATTTCTTTTGTGAAGCAAAGAAATATGGATGTCAAAGGCTCCTTTAAATGATCTTTTAGAGAAATAAATGATTGTGGCTAATACTGATGAGGCTTTCCTTACAACAGAGCACCATGAGCTGTGAAATACGAGAACGCATTCAACATCAGCCAATAAAACATCTCCTGCCTCCTTTCCAAGAATTACCAAGCTCAAATTTATTTTATATTCCCAATTAATGAGGGCAGGAAACAAACATATTTTAAGCACACTCTAAGAAAAGAAAGTTCTACAATGATCTATCACCACATGCAAAAAGAGTTCTGTGTGACAAAGCTATTTCTATGTCCCCAGGGGGTGACCCAGAAAAAAAGAGTGCTTTGACCTGGTTATAACAAATTCTCTCTCTCTTGGTAACCTATCCTGGTCTTTAACAAATTATCACTCTCAAAAGTTTTCCTTCTATCAAATCTAAATCTGCACCGTTAGAAGTTCAAGTTCATTTCCTTCTTTTGAGAAGCCACTTACTGAAAATGGGCCAGGAAGGAAAAATTAATGTCAAAAGAAATGACAACACGAAACTAGGTTTATTATGAGATTTTTAAAAATAGCTCTAGTATGAAACTTAAAAACAGCAAGTTATACTTGGGTAAGAGACTTCTAGTTCTTATCTAAAAAGCAAGCCAATCTCAATTTAAAACTAAAACAAAGCATTCTCACTATTTGGAGCCTCTGGAAAAAAAGAAAATATTTACTAAATCTGAGGTATTTCCACTTTTCTTCCACATAGTTCAATTCAACCTGCCTGAAAAACTCACAAAGTAAACTGACATTATATAAATTGTAAGCTGATCAGCCTATTTATCTGAATCATCAATCATGCCCAACTCTCACTGTATTTGCTTTGCATAAACTTTATTGTGACCTTCTCAATGGCCTAGTCCCCTACAATACAGACGGTCATAGTTGCTCCCATTAAAAACTTAAAACCAAGGACTCAAAACTCCCAAAGGCAAGGAGAAAGGCTTGAAGATGTTGATTACTTGTTCTCCCAACATCTCCATAAGCCTTCCTTCATGCAATCCTATGACTCACTTTAAACTCTGTTTCCAATTTCTCTCCACTTCTGGTTTACCCATTACCTCATGATGATGTAAATGTGGGAGATAATAGTTTTTTATTCGTGACCTCTCCCTAACTCTTTCCTCCTAAGACAACAGGCACCTAGTCAGTTTCACTGATAGGCTCTTAACAGAACATAGTTGTGGAACGGCAAAAACGCAGAGCCACTGTGCCAGTACACAGCCTACACTCCTTAAGGCACATTTTTGTGGACTGTCCTTCTCTTAAGCAAATCAGCATCCCACAGAGTAAATAAAGGCTGATCAAGATGTGCAAAAGCACCATGGGAGAATAATCACCTCCAGTACATTTTGGTCATTCTAGGAACATAGGTACCTTTTCACACACAACACCCTCATGTGTATTAGTTTCAAAACTTCCATAGAAATTGTATCATGTTTAGCCCAGGTGCAAAAGATATATGTATGGATAGAATTCATCCTCAAATGGAAGCACCTCTGGATTCTTTTGCCAGAAGGCTTACCAGTGTTGAAGTTCCTGGGTTCCTGGCCACTTAGTATTTTCTATTCCTGGGCCCAAGTCCCTATGCTGTCTCAGAAGCACCAACACATTTACAAAAGAAATACATTTGAAAGCTGCTCAGATATGCACCAAACAGAAGCAGGACAAAATATCCAAGACATATTTGAAAATTAATCCTAATTCATTGCAAAGATATACTCATCCACTTCTTAACATTAAAGAAAAAACCTTACCAGTCTTAAAGAAAGTAGAAGGGCCTTAGAGCTGATTAGTGTTCTGAAAGTCACTATTTAAACAACAACAACACTGCAGTACATAAACAAATAGCTCGTGGAGTCTTGATACACAATGGGATCACACACTATAAGCAATACTTAATTTATTGGGACAACTCCCTCTGAAAATATAGATATTGTATACTTATTTTATACTGTCTTTATCCTATAATGACATGTTTTAGAAATAAAGCCTTGATTTTCATATCAAATTTTCAAAACCATAGTTGTATAAGTCTTAAAATCACTTTATTAGGTCTAATGGTGTGCCAGTATAGGGCACGGAAGGGGACTCAATAATCAACTACAGAGACAGTGAGCTTTTATCCACACATACGAGTCAATGCTAAGGCTGGTGCCCTACTGCAGAGTGCAATTGAGTGTTTTCCCCACAGGCTGTAACTGATTATTGACTCCCCCCATTAACATGTAGGGTCCATAGTGAAGGTTCAGACAGAAGGCTGAGGGACTCTGTCCCAAGGCCAGCGCTGAAAGACAGCCTATCACTTTGTGTAACCGCAATCCATGTGTGATAAACCTGACCTACATTTCTCCCTTTCTTTCTCAAAAGAGCTTGTCACTGTTGTAAGAAGGTATTTTCTAAAATGCATCAAATAAATGACTTCTGAAACTGCTTGGGAAGTGTTCATTCCAAAAATATTATTTATAGCAATCTTATAAGGAATAGTTTAGCCAAGAGATCATCTCGAAACCTAGCCTAAAACAAGCTCAGAGGCAGAGAGTGCTTTATGTTACTCCATCGGGTATCTTCCTTTAGACTGTCCTTTATACAGTACACGGTCTAAAAGTACTATAATTTAATAAAAATAAACACTTAACACATATTAGGTAGGAATGTGTAATTAAACATTTCTCATTAGTTACAAAAAGTAGCTTCCACAGATTCACAAGCCACGTCCTAGTCGCTTGCTAACTTCTCGATGGAGTCACAATAATCACTACTAAGAATGGGGAATAATTACAAACTGATGGGGCAGTAAAGAAGGTAATAACTGGTGCACATGCTGGAGAATGCTCCCCAGGCACAGCTGCAGATGGTGCTTAGAAAGGTGCCCGTGTGCTGTGGCTCCTCCCCACAAGGACCTACCATGCCGCTGCAGGTCATACTCCTTCTTTGTCTCTTCATTCCCTAGAATTTTCCATGCCTGATCAATTTCGATGAACTTCTGTATACATTCCTCCACCGTTCCTGCAGGCACATCTGCACTTTGTCTGTCTGGATGATACTGCCAATCAAAAATAAGGAGGATGGTGAATAGAGAGGGTTAAGTTTTTAAAAACTGTAAATCTGAGCTTTCGTGAAGAAAGAAGATAATGAGAAAACAAAACTAAGATGCCAAGGCAACAAGTTAACAGTGCTGGGCCCGGGAGACGACTTGCCAGGGTAATTAGACCACTGGAGTAGCTATAAATCCACTAGCAACGTGATCTGTCACAACGTGCAAAGACAGCATTTTCTGGATAATTTGCTGATGGATGGAATCACTGGTCTCTTGGACAATCTACCTAGAGAGGATGACTAACAAAAACAGAAATAGGTACGTGCAGACGAGCAGAGCATGACAGAGGAAGAATACAAACTATGCAGAGAAGGAAGCTTTCTTATATAATGTGCATGGCTACGGATACCACCACGATTGGAGGACTCGCTTTTTCTCATAAAATTAGATTACACACCTATACTGTAAAATAAAAAATGTTTCATCTTCTAGCTCAGTTCTGAAGACTTTAATTTCAAATCCCTGCACATAAGTTTTATTGAAAAATGGTTATCCTAATGCAGATTTATAAGGAAGAATTTTAAAGAACTCAATGAAACATTTGAATATAAATTAACGCATTAGTAAATCTTTCTTACATGTGTTTTCTAAGAAAGTCTTAAGAATGTTTTCAGTATGCAGCAATTTCTTTAAACTATTTGGTCAAAAACAGAAAGTTTTATGTCAATTCAATTCTCAAATGATAATGTAAATATGGCTTACTGGATACCTCACTTATATTGTCCTCCTTTTCCTTTTTTCAATGTTTTCTGTTGTTATCCCTTCTCTTGATATCTATCAGGTCTTCTGAAAGAATAAATGTGTCATTTGCTTTTCAGCAGTCTCCCAACAAACAAGTAAGGAAAGATTATCTAAATTTAAAGACATTTCACTTAAGTAATCTGGGAATAACAGAAGCAGATATTGGGATATGTAATTTTTCACTCTCAAGTAAATAAGGAACCACTTTATGGTATTCATCCAGAATATTTCATTGACTGCTTTACAGACATTGAAAGAACATGAAAAACTTATAAGTACCGTGTCATTTATTATCCAAGTTGCTAAAGCCAAGACCACTCAGTGAGTTGTGGCAAGTAACATGAAGTCAAATGACTTCAATTCTCAATGCAGAATTCAGAAAGTATGTCGGTTTTTAATCATAATATTGACTATGGTTTTTGATAGTGAATTTGTCACCATGCTGAACTTGTTCACACTGCTAATGTCCTCAACTAGCAGAGCAAAAACAGTTGTGATATTTGGCTGCACAGAAGAACTAATGAACATCATGCATGCTGGAAGAAAGATTATAGGACAAACAAAGAGAATTAGGCTTCCATTTTCCCTTTGGCAAATTATTTCTCTTCCTATGCCAAATCTATCAGTTATCAACATTTAAATATTTACGCTAATTAATATAATGACTAAAGAAAAGGAAACTATAGCTTTATTGCTTAATCTTTTTTGTGATCACAATTTATCAAATGATACTCATAAAAGTTATTCCCATACTGAGGTTTAGTCAATCCCTAAAACTAGGATATTTCAGTAATATCCCAAAGCCAAAATAGAGTTGGCTACATTAAAGTTTTCTAACTGACCCATTTCTCTAACACTGTGTGAAGATTTGTGTAATATGCTTAATATTCTTCAATATTTTTACATGCAACGTACTCAAATATGGCACTATGTATACATTAAGATACACTTACATGTGAAAACTCAACCTTAATATGTCAGAAACATTAAGTAAGACCCCAGAGGAATCATTCTAAACTAGTACCTATATAGGAGAGGTACAGGCTAAAAGACAGGTAATTTCTAATAGGCCATTATAGAAGGTATACTTGGTACAATAAAAGAATAATTGGACCTGATCATGCATCAACCTGACCATGCAAGCCCTACAAAACCAAGGCTGCCCCAAACTAAAGCCATCATTAAATTTTATTGAGTCATAGGTAAGTTCCATGAGTGTCAAAGAACAACTCAATCAATCTCTTTCACCAATTTGGTATTTTCCTGACTACTATTTTAATTAAGTAACTACCATCCTAGACTTTTAGATCTATTCTGTTGTGCTATTAGAATGCAATACATTTTATTCTACAATATAGGGTTCAATTAAAAAATGGTAGTTATGGCAAGAAATTAAGTACGTCATTTGGGGTGATAAAAGCATCACTCAGTCCAATCTGTTCTGACAGCAAATTCCGGAACAAAATCAAAGTCTAAAAAACGAACAAACAAAAAATGTGTTCTGTGGTAGGCTGATAATGGCACCCCAAAATATTAGCTTTTCATTCCTGGTACCTGTAAATGTTACCTTATTTGGAAAAAAGTTCTTTGCAGATATGATTAAATATCTTGAAATAGAAAAGTATCCAGGTGAGATAAATATAAAGTATTCTTATACAAAAGAGGCAGAGGGAGATTTGGCACACAGAAGAGGAGGTGGTATGAAGACTGCAGAGAGAGACTGGAAATACTGGCCTTAAAGACTGGAGTGATCAGGCCACAAGCCAAGGAACACTGGCAGCTACCAGAAGCTGGAAGAGACAAGAAATGGACTCTCCCCCTAGAGCTTCTACAGGAAGTGCAGCCAGGCCAACACCTTGATTTCTGCCCAGTTATACTGACTTTAAACTTCTAGCCCTAGAATTCTGAAAGAATAATTTTCTGTTGGTTTAAGCCATTCAGTTTATGGTAATTTATTTTGGCAGTCACAATAAATTATACATAATCTAAAGATATCTATGATTTAAAACCGCAATACAGACACTACAACTTTTTAAGATGTTTCATTTATAAGGTCTATTAATAAAATGGTGTCATTATTATATACATTCTTAATTTTTAAATCTTCAGTGATTCTTTATTGAACATGAGAAACCAAACTCCTAATACTAAGTTTCAAGATTTTCCAATCCCAAAGTGAACACTAATTTCTTTCCTGCTATTTCTATATCTGAGCTCTCCAATGGGAAGCAGTCTCAAGCATTCACTACTATTTTGAGAGACCCAAGTAATTTTCCTTTTGTTGTCAAGGCTTATTTTATTCTTTGTCCTCCTTTTTCTTTAATCCCCACTAACCAAATCTTCCCACCATTGAGAGCTCAAAGATATTCCTACTTCATTCATTCATGGAAAGATAAAATCTAAGGCATCCTGTGTTCTAGAAATAGCCACAAAAAGATTGCATGAACTTCCTCATATTAGAAAAATGCAGGCAAAATCATACAAAAAACAGAGTTCTGAGAAAAACACCCACCAACCAGAGAAAATACTGATGGTCTTAACAGAATAGGTATGTACTAAAATCAATGTTGTAAAGTTCATTTCTTTTAACTACAGTAACTTCTATTTGTTTTCAGTACTACTAAGTTGAAATGAATTTTCCTAGAAATGGAAGAACTTAGTCATCTAGAAGCTTTCATGCCTTCCTACCTACAAAACAAAGTACTGCTGTATTTACTAGTAGCTTGCTACTTAAATATTAAATCAAATAAAAAGTTATCAGTTAGATAATTAGTTAGAAATAGATAACATTCATCCTTTACTACATATCTGTGATTATGCTGTTTTGATTTATAAAATATTGACTTCAAATAGGAAGTAACAATCAATTATGAAAAGGACTCTGAGCAAATCTGATTAAGCAAAAATTCCCAAATTGTTATGCTGAGGTTATTTCATATGCCAATGCAATACCTGAGGATAAAGCATATTAGTTTTTCTCTATGTATTAATAGATGAGTTTAGTATTATTAATAGGATACTAGCTCTTTAGCTTCAAATTTTCTTAAATTCTGGAATCAAATTTCAAAATACCTTCTTTCTTACAAATTATATTTTTATTGATTTCAGAGAGGAAGGGAGAGATAGAGTGAGATATAAAAATAAATGATGAGAGAGAATCATTGATTGGCTGCCTCTTGCACGCCCCCTACTGGGTATCAAGCCCACAACCTGGGCATGTGCCCTTGGCCAGAATCAAACCCAGGACCCTTCAGAATAGCACTGTCCAGTTCTGTGAGATTTGATGGTGGTGGAACCAGCTGCCTGCTGGCTCTTTTAACTTTGTCCCACAAATGCTCAGTTGGATTGAGATCTGGTGATTGTGGGGGCCACCTAAGCAAGGTAAAGTCTCCCTTATGTCCTTGAAACCACTCCTGCACAATACGAGCACCATGGCATGGAGCATTTGTCTTGTTGGAAGAAGCCATCTCCATTGGGACACGCCATCAACATGATAGGATGAACTTGATCAGCAATGATACTTAGGTATGTTGTGCTATTCAGGTGTTGTTCCACATGAATTAAAGGGCCCAAATCATGCCAGGAAAACATGCCCCAAACCATAATACTGCCCCCACTAGCTTGAAGGGTTGTACTCATGCGTGTGGGGTGCATGCTTTCATGCTGTTTCCACCAAATTCTCACTCTGCCATCTGCATGATGCAACTGGAAACGTGATTCATCAGGCCACATGACTTTTTTCCAATCCTTGTGTTCCTGTGCGAATTGGAGACGTTTTATCTTGGTAACTGCAGACAGCAAAGGTGTTCGAACAGGCCTTCGGCGTCCATATCCCATAAGATGCACTGTACGGCTAAATTGCCTACAAATGTCAGGTGGTCATAATAACCTAGCCACTCAGTGTATATGCAAGTGTAACACATCTGCTTCTTTGATTGAACATAAAACATGAAGAAAATTAAACCTTAAGCAATGGGTTACCTCATATCTAATTTAAGAGTAAATTTTTACTTCTCCCCCAACCCAAATCATATCAAACAAGTCTTTGATGACATACTCAACATGAACTACACAGAGAATTCCAAGAATGACATTCTGCCTCCGATAGCCCCTAGTGGTAATTAGCAGCAGTGCACGAGCTAACTACTTCTCTGGATGCAGAGAAGACAGGGTTTTGTGCAATTAAAGACTTAAGACACTGATGG